AGAAGCACGAAAGATCTGCTAGAGCATGGGAGCGAGACGGCACGGAGCCCGAAGTTTCTGGCCCACGAATCTTGCCCGGACAGCTCCTGAAGGTCGGCTTCGATTTCGCGCAGGAGCCTCTGAGACATTCCTGTCTAGCGCCACTGTGCTGCAGGATTAGCGCGAGGGTTCTGGTCAGCACCTTCCCGAACAAGCATGTCAGCGCAGACGTTACATTGCCTGGTGAGCCTAAAAACCGCAGGTTGGGCGTCGTTCGCAAACCTAGTAAGCGCGTTGGATAAGGAATCCACGGTTTGGAAGCCTGTGGAACACCAGCTGAGGCTTGGCCATGGATACCACCCCCGCCCTCACCAGAAAAGAAATCCTCCAGAGTCTGAAGCCGCTTGGGCTCGAGATGGGAACCTGGGCGAACTATTGCTTGAGAATCGGTTGACCGCCCGTTAAACATTGCAACTGAAAACCGGTTGAACATTAGCTGCGCGGCGCGGGCAGGAGAGGGCGTGCGCGGGGGCGCGGGGCACGTGCTAGGGGGCTGGGCGGAGGGGAACGGCGCGGATGAGTTTGGGTAAAGGGTTCGCGAGGAAGGGGGGGCAACGTGGAGGAGTGTTCAGCGGGGGGTTGTAGAATGGCTTGGTTTTCTTGGAGGGGGGAGGGGGGGGGGGGGGGGCGACGGCGGGGGGGGCGCCGCATCGCGAGAGGAAGCGAGGGAAGTAAGAAGGGTCGTGCGGGAGGTTGGGCGGAATTGGAGCGCGGAGGGGATTGGACGAACGATTTAGGAGGAAAGATGGGGGAGCGCGGAGCGGTGGTGGACAAGGGGGTGGAAGAACGGGTGACTGCATTACTTTCTTTGTTCTTCTAATATACTACCCACTACCTCTCAAGCGCGCAGTAGTATCGAAATTATGTTGCCCTGCGACGTGCCCAACCCATCTGCAGCAAGTGGGCACAGCAATTGGCCACGCCGCTGCGGCTTACAGACGACGATATGACAAAGGATGCCAGGCGGTAAACGGTAGGCGTACCATAGGGGTTTGAGGGTTGGAGATTTGGCAAAATTCTGGATGGGGCGCGGGGTGTTTTGCAAATGTCTAGAGGGTGCGGGGGGCTACTGTGCAAAATTCTGGGCCCTCGCTAGGCGGTGGGCGGTAGGCGGTCGGCGTCCAGTGGGGGTTGGGGGGGGGACTAGGGCGAATTCTGGTTGGGGGCCGGGGGACTTTGCAAATTTCTGGACGGGGTTGGGGGCACTCTGAAAATTTCTACGTCCTCGCCCGGCGGTGGGCGGTGGGCGTGCCACGGGCGCTGGGGGTGGGGGACTTCGCCAGATTCTGAAGGGGGGGGACTCTCTGCAAAATTCTGGATGAGGGGCGGGGAACTTTGCAAAATCCTGGGCCCTCGCCAAAGGACTTCGCCAGATTCTGAAGGGGGGGGGACTCTCAGCAAAATTCTGGATGAGGGGCGGGGAACTTTGCAAAATCCTGGGCCCTCGCCAAGGGACTTCGCCAGATTGTGAAGGGGGGGACTCTCAGCAAAATTCTGGATGAGGGGCGGGGAATTTTGCAAAACCTTGGGCCCTCGCCAAGCGTTAGGCGGTAGGCGGTAGGCGTGCAGTGGGGACTGGGGTATTTTGCGACCAGCCATAACTGGGGGAGCTGTGGTCCTTACCCCCCTGGGGGAAACCATCGCGTCGACGATCTCTCGAGAGGGGTGTGGAAATCGATGGGACCCCCAGGGGGGTAAGGACCACAGCTCCCCCAGTTGTGGCTGGCCTGATTTTGCAACATTCTGGAAGGGAGGGCGACTTCGCAAAATTCTGGGCGGTTGGCGGGGGACTTCTCACATTCCGTAGGGGGGGGGCGTTGCAAATTTCTGAAGGGGGCGGGGGGTACGCGCCGCCGAAGGCGTACAAGAAGGGTTGGGGGACTTTCGACAATTCTTCCGGGCGGGCGGAGGACTATGCCAATTTGTGGAGGGGGTGGGGGGCTCTTCGAGCTTTCTGGGTACTTTGCGAAATTCTGGGGCTGTCGGGGACTGCTGCTGGGGACTGCTGCCGGGGACTGCTGCTGGGGACTGCTGCCGGGAACCGCCGGGACCTGCTGCCAGGAACTGCCGGGAACTGCCCGGAACAAGGCAACGGTTGCAAAACGGTCGCGTCTCCTGCCGGGAATGGCGTGGACGGTTGATTGAAAAGCGGCTGCGGTTGAAGACCGGTTCTGAAAACGGTTGCAGAGCGGCGGATAAACGGGGATCGGTTGAACAACGGTTGAACAAGGGTTGCATCTCCTGCTGGGAATGGAAGCCGCGGTTCGCGCGCGACCGATCTCTCGCCCCCGGAACTGCTGGGTCTCCCTGGGAACTGCCGAGCGCTGCCGGGAACCTGCGCGCCATCGCGCGGCGCGTGGGCGATGCCGATATGAGCAGGTCCTTCGCGGGCGCGAGTGACGGTCGATGTTATGGGATGGGGGCTTTGAGGTTGTTGGGTTGAAATTAAGAGATTGAGAGAAAGCTTTGGGATAAGGAATTGAAATTGTTGGTTGTTGGGATTGGGAGCTTTGAGGTCGAGGTTGTTGGGATGGGGCTGGGGGTTAGGGGTTCTGAGGGTAGGGGTTTGAAATCAAGAAATTGATGGGAACGCGTCGGGCAAGCGCGAAGCCGGGGGCAAGCCGCGCGCCTGACGGCCCCAGACCCTCTGCGCGGCGGGCCCACTGCACAGCGCGCCCCAAGACCGCGTGCACGCGTGCTGGCGGCTGGCAGGACCTGCGTGGCCGCTAGGCCATCACGTCTGACAGCTCGCCTGTGGTGGCAGCCTCCTCCTTCCCCGGAATCCAGCGCCCCTTCATCAGGCAAGTTGCCCTGCATTGCTACCCTCGTCGAAGCGCCGCCGGGCGCCGCGCGAGGCGCGAGGCCAAAAGGCCACGACGACGACGACGACGACGACGACGACGACGACGACGACGACAACGACAACGACGGCGACGAGGATGGCAGCACTTGCGGCGGCGGTGGCGTCGCCGCCGCTGCAGGTGAGGAGGAGGAGCAGGAGGAGTTTCCCTCGCATGCCTCAGCTGCGACACTGTGGCCGAGCTGCGCGGATCGAGTGAGGAGAAGGAGGAGGAAGACGAGCTACGCAGATAAAGGAAGCCCCTTCGTTCCTGGCAGGATTCAAATTGCGACACTGTGGCCACTTTCGTGTGCTTCTGGCCTTCCTCAACCATTGCAAATCCAACAGTCCCCTAGTCAACCAGTGTCTCAGCCCCGTCAGTTTGACCAACCACTTCCGCAACGGCTCCTTCAACCATAACAAATCGAACAACCAAATATTCAACCACTTTCTCAACCCCTTCAAGTTGATCGACAACGTTCTCAACCACCTTCTCAACCCTTTCAAATTGACCAGCCACGTCCCAGACCACTTTCTCAACCCCTTGAAATTGATGAACCACCTTCCAAACCATTGCCTCAACCTAGTGGAATTTAGCAGCAAATGTCTCAACCACTTTGTCAATCCTTCGAACTGAGCAACCACTGTCTCGGCACTTCCACATCCCCTCCGAAGTGAACAGACACTTTCTCAACCACTTCCATAATCCCTTCAAGTCGGTCAACCACCTCAACCACGTCCTCAATCCCTTCGAATTGAACAGCCACGTTCTCAACCACTTCTTCAACCCCTTGACTTCAACCCCATGAACGAACCGCAACCACCTCATCACTCCCTCAAAGAGAAACAACCAATTCATCAAACACTTCCTCAACCACCAGAAACAACCGCAACCGCTTCATCAGCCCCTCAATGGAAAAACAAGAATTACAGCAACCACTCCCCCCAACCGTTTCATCAACATACTTGCAACCGAAATGCTCGAGAAGCAGCAGGCAGATTGTCATCTCAGGCCTGGGCGCATTCCCGAACGAACGCCCCCACCGATGGGGGGCGGTGTGGCGCAACGCGTGGGTGACCAGCTCGTCGAGAGGCGCCGCCTGGCGCACCCCCGCGAGGAGGCCCCCCCTGGGGCTCTTCCCAAGACGCGACCTGCGAGGAACGCCGCAAGACTCCACCCGCAGCGACTCCATCTGGCACCGGAGGCTGTCTACAACTGCAGAGGGGAGGGCGGTCAAAAGCACCGAAAAGCTGCATAGACATATATTTCCTCTGAGATCCGGGCGGATTCCTTAGATCGGCGCTGGACTCCCCTCCCTAGCGCGCGAAGCGCGCCAGGGGTGGCGCCAGATGGGACCAGCGCCGTTCCAAGAAATCCGCGCGAACCTCAGAGGAAACTTGTTTATGCAGCTGGCAGCTGTTTGTCTATCGAGAGGTGGGATATCAGCCAATCGTGTGGAACCAGTTTGCCCGTAAAGCTCAAATCTGGCCAGTGGCCACGAATCCAGTGAGGCCAGCAGAGAGGAGCAGGGCCGCAACGCCACAGGCGCGGCCACTCTGTTCACATTCTGTCCTCGGCACTCTCCTCCTCCTCCCCTGGGAAAACCAAAAGGTGCCGATACCGCTACTGCCCGGACCTCTCCCGGGGTGCGCTCTGACCAGGATCTCGAGGCGAACCCAGCGGTGGCGACGAGGGCCGCCCAGGAGGCCCAACAAAAAGGGGAAAACGAGGGAAGGGTAGCGGCATGGGTGCCTTTTCCTCCTCTGATCCCCCTCGACGGTTCTGTGCGCGCGTATGCGCGTGTCTGTGTGTGTGGAGGAGGAGGAGGAGGAGGAGGAGGAGGAGGAGGAGGAGAGGGGGGAGGAGGAGGAGGAGGAGGAGGAGGGAGGAGGGAGGAGGCGGAGGAGGAGGAGGAGGGGGAGGAGGAGGAAGAGGAGGAGAAAGAAGGAGGAGGAGGAGGAGGGCGAGGAGGAGGAGGAGGGGCAGGAGAGCCCTGCCACGCGACGGCCGCCCGCGCCCCCCCGCGCGCAGAGGGAGGGCGTGCCCGCGCGCGCGCGCCTGCGCCGCCGGGCGCCTCCGAGGGGCCCCCGCGCCCCACGAAGAGGTGGGGGAGCAGCTCGCTCAGCTGCGCGGCGTAGGCGGGGGGGTCCGCCAGGAAGCACAGCCACAGGACCCTCGGGCAGAGGGGAGGAGGAGGAGGAGGAGGAGGAGGAGGAGGAGGAGGAGGAGGAGGGGGAGGAGGAGGCCGCAGAGGAGGAGGAGGCCGCCAGGAAGCACAGCCACAGGACCCTCGGGCAGAGGGGCGCGTCGGCCGGCGGCGGACACAAGCCTCCTTTTGGTGCAGTCGGGGGCGTTGACCTAAGGAACCCAAAATAAGGAACGAGGCCCCTTTTTTCCATGAGTTAAACTTCGATTTCCGATCGAAACCATAAGGAAAGCCTGAGGCAAGCTGCGAAACACTTAAGGAACGCGGAGCCCCTCCGCAACGAAAAGGGTTCCTTCTTCAGGGCCCCGACTGCAAACCCCTCCCCTTGGTGAAAACGGCCTGGGACCGAAAGCGACGGGCCTGGACCCGGAAAAATGACGGCCGCGACGCCCTCTCGCGAACCGACAACGGCCAATTCCTGAAGCGACGTGTCAGGGTAGGAGGCCTGTCTACCCCCGAGTCGGGAGGGGGGACGCTTAAGGGCACAGTCGGACTTCATAGGGCAGGACGCGCAAGAGGACACGAGACCCTTCCGAAGGCCACATCGCCATGGGAGTGCAAGAAGGCACGCGTCGCGAGGTACAGGACACGAGGGTGCCCTTGAGCTGGCAGGGTCGACCTACTAATCCGGGCCGACTGTAGGTATGGGGGGCTGCCCACTACCATCCTCATTGCAATCATCTGGGCTCCAGCCTGGAAGACCAGAACTCGAGGGATCCACGCACCCGGTGAGGGGTTGAAGTCCAACCACATTCTGACGTGTGTCATGCACGATGGTGTGCCACGCCTCGACAGTTGTTACATGAGATGCTATGCTGCGTGCGCTGGCGTGGTCCTGGTCGTTCGCCTGAGACTTCCTCATCATATTCGTTATCCCCCTGGGGCTTCCTGGGGCCTCCTGATCCTCCTCCCTTGTGTTTCCTTCTCAATTTCCTCATCCTCCTCCATGCTCACCATTTTTCATCAATCCGCGCATGTTAGGCATGCCCCCTCCGCGCACGTACTTTCAAGTGCGAGGACTTCGACAACAACATGGTAGATGCCCCCATTCGCGCCTGCGCACACTTGCCACACGCGGACGCGCCAGGCGCATGCTGGGCACCCCGCCTCCGCAAACGCATGTGCACGTGTGGACAATTCTGGCGACGACATGTTGGATGCCCATCTTCGCGCCTGCACAGAAGAAAACATGTGCCAAACGCGCACGCCGCAAACACATGTGGGGTAACCGCACTTCCGCGCACATCTCAGAGTTAGGGGGCCGAACGGTCATTCACTGTCCCTGGGTGCGTGGCTGAAGTTGGGACCCACGGTGCGGATTGTTGTTGCGTTGTTGTTGTTGGTGGTGATTTTGGCTGTTTCTGGTTGATCTCCAGAAAAGGTTCCGCGCGCTCTCGCCTCGACGCTGGCTACATTTTCTCTGAAAACGAGGCTCCCGCTCGAGCGCTGGCTTGATTGTAACTATGTGTCGTTGCAGGCCAGGCTGCAACGACAAGGGCTCCCGCTCGACACTTCCTCACAATTTATCCCGAGACAGTCTGGCCAGAGAGGCCCCCGAACTCAGGAACGGCGCTCTCGCTTGAGACATCCTCGTAGTTGACGGAGGCCCAGCCACGACGACAAGTGGTCCCGCTGGACACTTCCTTATAATGTACCACGAGACACCCTGGCCAGAGAGGCCCTCGAACTCAGGAACGGCGCTCTCGCTAGAGGCCTCCCAGCCAATCAATCAAGTTGGCGAAGGCCAGGCCACGACGACAAAAGGCTCTCGCTCGATACTTCCTCACGATTTGCTCCGAGAGCCGCTGGCAAGGGAAGCCCCCCGAACTCACGAACGGCGCTCTCGCTCGAGACTCTCTCATAATTCAGGCAAGTTAGTGGAGGCCCAGACACGGCGACAAGGGCTCCCGGTCGATACTTTTCAAAATGTAATCTGAGAGCCCTGGCCAGAGATGCCCTCGAACCCAGGAACTGCGCTCTCGCTTGAGACTCCCTCGCAATTAAATCAAGCTGGTGGAGGCCCCGCTGTAATTCCGCAGCGGCGCCGGAGGCCCACCTGCGACGACGGGGGCTCCCGCTCGACACGCCCTCGCAATTTACGCCTAGACGCCGCGGCCAAAAGGGCCCCCGAACCACAGAGGCCCCAGCACGCTGCTCACTGAGGCCTTCGGGCACAGCCGACAGAAGCTCCAAGCGCGCCCACAGGGGCTCCAGCACGCTGCCCAGTGAAGCCCCCGGGCGCAGCCCACAGAGGCCCCCCGCGCGCCCACAGAGGCTCCAGCACGCTGCCCGCAGGCCCCCCAGCACAGCCCACAGAGAGGCCGCAAGCGCGCCCACAGAGGCTCCAGCACGCTGCCCGCGGAGGGCCTCCGACGCAGCCCGCAGGGGCCCCAGGCACGCCCACAGGTTCTCCGGCGAGCTGCCCACTGAGGCCCCCGACACAGCCCACAGAGGCCCCAGCCCACAGAAGCCTCAAGCGCGCCGACGGAGGCCCCCGCGCGCTGCCCACCGAAACCCCCCTAACACAGCCCACAGAGGCCCCAAGCGCGCCCATGCCCCAGCCCACAGAGGTGGCGCCCACGGAGGCCCCCCGCGCGCTGCAGCCGAGGCCCCCCTCATACACAGCCCACGGAGGCCACAAGCGCGCCCACAGAGGCCCCAGCCCACAGAGGCCCCAAGCGCGCCCACAGAGGCCCCAGCGCTGCCCCGTGAGGCCCCCCGACACAGCCCACAAAGGCCCCAGCCCAAAGAGGCCCCAAGCGCGCTGTCGCTCGAGACTCCCTCGCGATTCATACAGGATGCACGCTTCAGCAACCCGCACGCTCGACCTGGCCGCTTGGGCCCGCCTTCCCGACCCGCTTGTTAGGGTCTACCCACCCGATCTGCCTGGCTGGTTTTGTCACGTGTTTTCTGTCCCTAGCCCCCTTCCTGCTACTCTCTCCTTGCTCCCTCCTTCCATCCGACTTCTCTTCCCCTGCCTTCGGGGCTGCACGAAAGACACGTTGCATGGGAGGATCAAGTATATCCGGTAAGGCGTTTCGCTGGAACAATGCAAGAATGCACGCGCCACATTCATGCGGACCTGGACGTTTCAAGGTGCCAGCGCGGGCGGGCTGTCTACGGCAGGGCGAGGTAGGACGAAGGTGAAACGCGCTGCACTGCGCACGGGATCCTACAGATACGTCGGGAAAAGCAGCGGGGCACGGCACTCCGCGTGAAGCGGCTCTGAAAAGACGGGCGGGCCCTGACAGCGCGGGCCGAAAAACCGCCCTCAAAATATCCACCAATGAGTCGCGAAACCTGCCCCGGCGGATTGGTGTGTATATATATACATATATGTAAACATGTGTAAGCCAAATGTTGCAGGAAAAACACACCAGCAAAAATATATACCAATCGAAAACGCACAGGAAAACATCCGCCATACCCACAAAAAACGCCAGAATCGACAGAGACTTTAGCCTGGAGGAGGGGGGGCAGGACCGCGAGCACCAATGCTGATACTAGTGGGGAAACAACTTGCGAGAATCGGAGATGAGGGGGGGGGGCGACGTCAGCGTCGCAGAAACACTCTGCACCAACGTCGCGACAGTGGAACACCACGCCACTCCGCACACCTGGGCTGCAACTCGGCGCCCCCTGTCAGCGCCCAAAAATCACAATGGTCAGCCGAATGCATCACCTGATATATTGCGTGCTCAGATGGGAAAGATATACCCCAAGGGGGTATGATCGAAGACGAAGGGGGCTGGTACCGAGGGTTTGGAATATACGCGCCGAGTGGCCCGCGAGCAGATAAGAAAGAACATTATTGAACTGGTAGTTGTTGCTGTTGGTTGTTATTGCTGCTGTCGTCGTCCCACTCGCGACACGGCCGGCGACCCACCCGCGACCCGCCCGCGACCCACCCGCGACCCAATCGTGACCCACCCGCGACCCACCCGCGACCCACCCGCGACACACCTGCGACCCGCCCGCCACCCACCCGCGACCCATCCGCGACCCGACCGCGACCCACCTGCGACCCACCTGCGCCCGCCCCCATCACTCTTATCCGCAACTGCGGGGTGCAAGATATTTACGTGAGAACAACTCGACGACCACATGTTGAATGCCCCTCCTTCGCGCCTGCACCCGTGAAAACATGTGCCACACACGGACGCGCCAGGCACATGCTGGGCACCCCACCTCCGCGCACGTACTTGCACGCGTGAATAATTTCGACGACCACGTGTTGGATGCCACCCTTCGCGCCTGCACAAATCAAGCCACGTGCCGAATGCGCACGCGCCAGCGCACGGTGGGTCCCCCCTGTCCGCGCGCAGATCTTCACGTGTGGATGACACGGCGACCACATGTTGGATGGCCCCCCTTCGCGCCTGCACACGCGAAAACACGTGCCGAACGCGCACGCGTCAGTCGCATGTTGGGCATATCCCTGTGCGCGCGTATTTTGAGGCGTGAACAATTCGATTACCACATTGCGGATGCCCCGCGATCGGTATGTAGCCCATTTGGCGCCAAAGCTGTACCACAACAGTTGCCATGCACATGCGTGCCGAATCTCCGCTTACGTACTGGTGGCCCAAGTCCGACTCCCCCTGCTCGACAACCCATCCAGCCTAGGGCCAAAGGCCCGCCCACGTACAAGATCACCCTGAGCCCGAGCCACTGCCCGGAAACATGCGCACACACAGTTTTTGATTCGCGGGTCGAGAGCGCACCTCTTCCGGTCGAAGCTAAGCGGGCCGCGCGAAGCTTGAATTAACAAAGAGGGGGGGACAGAAGGAGAGGCCTCACGTCAAGGTCAGGAGGAGGCAAAGCCTCGGGATCAGGCGGTGCCGAAGACGATGTGCTTGCAAAGGAACGCCTTGGACAGGAACGCGGTGGCGAAGTACCGGAGGAAGCAAAATGCTGTGGTTAGTGGTGCTGTCAACGGCTCATCGTGTACACATGCGCACACACACAGCCACAGGTCCCAACCCCGTGGAAAGACATGTCTGGCAGGCGGGTGGGGAGGGCGAAGCCCACCAGAACAGAGGAAGCGGGGGAGATGGAGGAGGGGAGGGGAGAGGGGGGAGGGAGGGGAGAGGAGAGGGGAGGGGAGGGGAGAGGGCGGGCGAAGCCCACCAGAAAAGAGGGGAGGGGAGAGGGAGGAGGGAGGAGGGGGGACGAGGGATGAAGGGAGGAGAGCCGCTGGACGAGGGAGGAAAGGAGGGGAGCGTGGGCAAGCAAAGCAGGAGAAGTGAGCAGGGAGGAAGGGAACGAGCGAGGGAGAACGTAGAAAAGGGAGAGGGAGCGATGAGGGGGGAGAGGGCGAAAGAAGAGAGGGAAGTAGAGCGAGAAGTAAGCGGGAGATGGGGAGTGGGAGGAGGGGAAGTGGGAGGAGGGGAGGGAAGAGCAGGGTGGGCGGAGCGAGGAGGGGGAGTGGGAGGAGGGGAGGGAAGAGGACGAGGGGGCGGCATGAGGACCAGAAAAAGAAAAAAAAAAAAAAAAAAAAAAAACGCGATGCTCCCACACATCTTCCCGTGCCGGGCCACCTGTTCCGTTCGTCCCCGAGGGCATCCATCTGCGCTGCGCGCGGCGCCACCCCCCCTGCCAGACAGCGAGAGGGCCCGCGGGGAGCAGCAACGGGGGGAGGGCCCGCGCGAGGAGGGCGGCGGCGCGAGGAGGCCGCGAGCCGTGGGCGCACACGGGCCCGAGCAGGTTCTGCTCTGCGGTGCCCGAGCGCTGGGCCCGGCGAGCGGCCCCCGAGCTGGAAGCATAATAGGGGGAAGCCAGAAGGTCTACAGGAAGGCCAGACAAAAGGAGGAGGACGAGGAGGAGGAGGAGGAGGAAGGAGGGAAGGTCTATAGGAGGAGGTGGAGGAGGAGGAGGAGGAGGAGACAGGAAGGTCTGTAGGAGGAGGAGGAGGAGGAGGAGGAGGAGGAGGAGGAGGAGGAGGAGGACGACGAGTGGCTACCGAGCTGGAAGCATAGAGGAAGCATAGAGGGGCGCGGCCGCAAGAAACCCTCGCAAGAAGCCCAACCCTGAGAACCCGTGCGCGAGGTGCACCGGAGGGGACACCTGGAGCACTCTGAACGCAGCAGCTCCTTCCACGGCCGCGGGAAGTCGCCGCGCCGCGCGCGGAGCGAAGAAGCCCGGGGGAGCCAAAAGGGGGAAGCCACAAGGTACCGATACAGCTACTCCCCGGACCTCTCCCGGGGTGCGCTCTGACCAGACTGTCAGGGCGAATCCAGCGGTGGCGACGGGATCCTGCGAGGAGGCCCAACAAAAAGGGGAACACGGCCCGAGGGTAGAGGTATGGGTACCTCTTCCTCCTCGGAGCATAACTTTTCAGTGCTCCTGTGGTGCTGCGTTGTGTCCTCGCGCCGGTGCTTCCGTCCGCGAGGGCAGCACTGCGCGCGGCTCTCTATCGGGGGCCAGCGTCGCCACGGCCAGGCTTCGGGGCCGGACCGAGATCGAGTCGACCTGTGCCAGCGGGGTGTGGGCGGGGGAGGTGAGCGACGGCTCGGAGCGTCCAAGACGGCATTCACAGGGAGGTTGAGCAAAAACAAGGAATTCTAAAAGCATGGAAATTTGAATTCTAGGCTGTCGCGTAGAGATCGCAGCCCCGAAGCGAGGCAGAGAACAAAACTAGGAATTCCGAAAACAAGGAATATTAAACATATGATTGTAGAGTGGGCCCGCGAGACTGAACCCAGGCATGCCGTCCCAACATGAGGCCCTTGTCGGAAACACTGGATCCCCAGGCGCTGCCATCTGTCCACCACCACCACTAAGCCTTGCGTCCGTCTGGTCGCGTGGGCAGACACGCCAAATGCGTGCAAGAGCGCGGGAGAGCTGACGCGCCAAACATGCGCCAAGGAGAACACGAGACACGCCAAACGCGTGCCGACACAGGAGGGAGGGGGAAGGACGACGAAGAGGAGAAGATGATGAAGATGATGCGATCTAGGACAGATTTGCTTCCGCCGTCTTCCGTCAGCCTTCCGCCAGCGGAGGCGGCCTCGTTTTGCTTCCGCCGCCCTTCCGACACGGAAGAGACGCCAAGTCCCTCGACCCCTCGAAGGCGAGGCCTTTGCTGGAGCGCCCCACATCGCTCCGAGATGGCCACATACAGTCGGGGCGTTGACCTAAGGAACCCTAAATAAGGAACGAGGCCCCTTCTTTTTTCCTTAAGTTAAACTTCGATTTCCGATCGAAAACATAAGGAAAACCTGAGGCAAGCTGTGAAACACTTAAGGAACGCGGAGCCCCTCCCCAACCAAAAGGGTTCCTTCTTCAGGGCCCCGACTGTAGAACCCCGGATGGCCTTCGATGTCGCACACGTTGGCCCAATAATGGGGCTGCGGGAAGGCCTGAGGCGACCCAGAGGCGACCCTCGAGGAGGCGACGGAGGCTCCCCAGGTATGCGCCGACACGCCAAAATCATGGAATAGCCTCGATTGGTTCATCAGTTCGAGGTTTCTCGCAGATTCGCGTCCGATGGGCCTTTGAGGCATCAAGGTGGCCCCGAGGTGACACAATACGGCCCCAATAACAAAGGGCAGGCTCCAAGAGAGTCCGAAAGGCCCCGAGAGCACCCGAGAAAGCCTCTAGAGACGAAGAAGGTTGCATGTTAGTCCCAAGGCTGGGGGAGAGATTGGAGGATTCCCCCGTAGACGACATCCCAGATGGCCCCAGGAGGGCGAGTTCCAAAGGCCCCCCAAGGGCCCCGGGAGAGCACCAAGCTAGCCCCAAGAAACCTCATGATTGACACTTTTGATGGGCTGCTTGGGCTGATCATGCTTTTGGCTGCGGCTTCCCTATGTATTCCGCTATGGCTCCGCAACCTCCTTTCTGACGACTGCTACCCCGAGAATCGTCTTTGGGTGGTCTGGTGAAGATCCGCGAAGAGTCAGGAAATACGATGATTAGGGCGAGAAGGACTGCGACGAGGAGAGAAAGATATCGAGGGCATGGAGGAAGAGGAAGCGGAAGAGGAAGAGGAGAAGCAGCAGGAGTGGGGGAGTCTTTCTTTTTGGCTGGGCCTGGGGTCAGGAAGGCGCCCCCGCTCGAGGAGCAGGAGGAGGAAAAGACAAAGGAGGACGAGGAGGAGCTTGAAGGAGGTGGGGAATGGCGGAGGGCCTCCATTAGAGGAACAGAAAGCAGCGTAAGCAAAACCTTCCTGAGGTCCGCGCGGAGTTCTTCGATCGGCGCCGGGACAACCTCCGCCTGGTGCGCGGCACGCGCCAGGCAGCGGCACCGGAGGCGCGGCCAGGGGGGCCCAGCGACGAGCCAAGAACGCCGCTCGGAGTGCCGAATGTTAGTGATAGTGTTTTCATTGTCCTTCGACTTCGTTCATGCCTACCTACCAGACCACCCCAACCCAACCCGAAGACCCGAATTTGACCCGAATTTCGGGTTGGGGGGGGTACGGCTTCTATGTGTTTTTTCAATGCTCCCCGACCCCCCCACACTGGAAATGGAGGGCAAATTGAGGCCTTCGGGTTGGGTTGGGGTGGTTTGGTAGGCGGTGAGTTCAGGGGAAGGGGGGAGGAGGGGATGACTGGGACGAGGACGAGAACGTAGACGGCCGCGGGGCGGGAAGCGGGGCCGCTCCTGGGCAAAACCATAAACAGCTCGGCGTCGCACGTGGCGCACATCGCCCCGAAGACGGGCACGAGCCCCTGCAGAGTCCGCAGCTGTGCCGCAAGCCTTTGCCAGGGGGCTGAGAACGAGGGGGGAGAAAGGGAGGAAGGGGGAGGAGGGAGGGAGGGCAGCGGGAGGAAAAGGGTGGAGGCTTCTGACTCTCCTCCGCCCTCCTCCCCCTTCCCTCCGCTGCCCTTCCTCCTCATGCATCCTCCCTCCTCCCTCCCTCCATCCTCTTTCCTCATAATTAGCCCAATTCTGTCGCACCCCCAAAACGTGCGGGTACGGTGGTCTCGGCGTTTCGCCTGCGACCTCCTCACCACTCATGGCCCTGAAACCTCCAGATCCGCAACATATCCTAGCTTAAAAAACGGCTAGTTTTCAAGCATGTGGCTGTCGCCTTCTCGCCGCGCACAGCTGTCTTAAAACTCTGCAACCGCTTCAAGAATGTAAGGCGGCGCCTGTTCAACATGTGACGCTTGCCTCGGCGCCGCGCACAATTGTCTCACGAGTAAAAGCAACAGCTTCATGGATGGAGGGCGGAGTCTTTTCAATATGTGGCTCTCGCCTCAGCGCCGCGCGCAGTCGTCCTGAAATTTTGCAACATATTCAAGGATTCGTGCGGCTGGCCTCCCAGGATGGGTGTTCTGGCACGATTTATGATTGTCATGACGCATCAGCGAACTCCCAAAAACGGCGATCTGGTGCCAATGTCGCCCTCAGGGCGCAATAGTCACTATGATCCGCGGTGCTGAAATCCCAATGATGACGTTTTGGCTCGATTGAAAGCTCCCATTCGCAAAGAAGATACATCCCGCAATGACAACAACTTCGTGTAGGGACTTATGAAGAGGGGGCTTGGAGGGAGGGTGAATTGCAACATGGTTGGTGCGTCTTGGGTTTGCACGGGTCTCTTCTCCTTCCCCCTCCATCCCTTTGGGTCTAAAGCTTTCACGGAAAAAAAGCAAACTCTCACAGAATGGCCGCCAGCGCCAGAGGCAGAGCGAAAGAGGCGTGCAGCCGGCGGCATGTTCGTAGGCCAGGGGCGGGGGGCGATTGCCAGGCAGTTCCTCTCCCCGTCGCCCCCGCCCCCCCGGAGAAGAACGACTAAGAAAAAGATGCGGCCTCGCGTGTGGTCTAAAATTATGACCTTCTGGGCGCCGAGCTGTCCGCTTGACTAGAACTGAACACCGCGCACTCGCATCGCTCGTTCACGATCCGAGGTGACGCGCTTCACGCACCGTGCAACCGATCATACCCAGGGTATGTTGACCGTCGAAGATCGACAAGCATCCCTGGGCAGGGGGGATGCCCTTCGGGCCTCGACGAGGGCAAAGCCTGCGGTGCTGCGCGCAACAGGCAGGCACCTGAGGCACTCGACCCTGCTCTGATCGGCCCTCGACCCAATCATCGACCTCAAAAGTATCCCCATCATCATCATCCTACAGGGCAGTGTTTAATACATCGGACGGTTTAACAATAAATGATTTTAGTGCATGATGAATTTATGCATAGATTTATGCATGAACTCATCGTTGGTTTTAATACTAAATCCCTGCATATTTAATATACGATCCGCAGCATGTATTAAAAACGGCACTGTACTCCACTTCCTCCTAAACCTCCCTGGGGGGTGCAGGCCCCAAAAAACATCTGCCACTGGATTACCAAGCCTGTGAAAGGGAGGAAAGAGACGGCCGGGGGAGGAAGTGATGGCGCGCAGGCGCGGCTTCCGTACACCCTGGGCAGGGAGCCCGCGAGGGCGCAGCTGTCGGTCGCGTCGGCATTGGCCGTCCCGTGCTGCAGTGTTCCCGCAGCGGGTCCGCGAGAAGATCCGAAGGCAAACAAACCGAAGTGCTCCAGAGGCAGTGTCTGCAGTGCCCCTGGACTCCGAACCATGAAAACAATCAGGACCGAAACTGCCCCGTCAGAGAGCGCCGCTCCTGGCCAGGCCCAAACCCTGGGGGCCAGGGAACCCACAAAAAAAGGGTGGCGACGAGGATGGCAGGTTATGGCGTGCAGCCTCGCTGGATTAGATTAGACCTCGCAAACAACGTAGCGGCCAAACATTGCACTGGGAGTCATGTGCGTGGTGCGCAGGTGGTGTGGGGCCCTGGTGAAGTATAAAGCAAGCTCAGACGATCCAATCGTCAACCTTCGACTAACATTTTCTGTCTCGTCGTCATGATACATGCACGCGTCGAAACTCCAGGCGACGGGTTTCAGAGCCCGAGAAGTGCCCACGGCCGCCCATACGAGCTATCGAAGCTCCCTTTCACACGGTCATGAGCGCGACGCTGAGAGACAACATGGGTGTACCGTCGGTCAGAAGATTGAACAGACACGTAATGTACTTCCACCAGGTACAATGGAACAGCAAAAAAGACGCCAGTATATCGACACATTGGAATGAAGCTGCGCAAGTTCCCTCAGCCTTACACGCTCTCACGGAACAGCCTATATTTCCTACCAGAGCGAGCCGGTCGATTCTAACGCTTGGATCATTTTCCGCCCGTCTTCCTCCCCTTGTCCAGCAACTTCTGCGCCAGCTGCTCGAGGCGACCCTGAGAGGCCGAGCCGAATGTAATCTTGCCACCAACCACGCGCAAACATTGAATGACCGCTCCAACTACTGGCATCGCTGGGCGGTCCGCGATCGCGAAGTGCACCTGGGAGCACTCCAAGATGGCACCGTTCGAGACGGAAGTGCCTCAGCATCAAGCCAAGTTCCATCTGGCTCGCTCCTGTATATGAACTTCGCGTAGAAGATGTTCGCCCGCTGGCATGATCGCCCCGCGATCTGCTTCATCTCCTCCGAGCCCACCATGGACCTGAACGCGGCGCGCGCGATGTACAAACGCGGTGAACCCGGATCCTTCTGCGCCGACTGCAAGGCTGCCACCTGTGCGCACAAGCTGCCCGCTTCCCTGCCCAATGCGATGATGTCCGTCTCTGTCGGGGAGACCATGCCCGGCCACCCCGACGCCGCCATGTCGCGTGGCAAATGAGCGCGATGGCCCACCATCCTGAGCATGACGTCGAGAGCTGCCTGGATGTCGGGCGCTCTCTGCGCGCGCCTTCGACCGCCGCGAGAGAGTCGTCCGCCTTCTCGGCCGCGTCGCCGACCCGTCCCTCTGGATCAACCGCCCCCCTCCCGCGGCCCGTTTCCCCCCCGTTGGCTGGTCTCGCTTCGGTGGCGAGCTCAGGCCCATTTTGCCTGCATCTGATCCGATCGACATGTAGACGTGTCCGATGGTCCAGGACGCTCGGGCCCTGGTTCAGCACAGCGCGATCTGATATGAATCGCAGTTCCACCAGGTCTTGAGCCGTGTAGCTACAGATCGGGCAGGAGAGGTCGCCGGGTACGATCACCTCGTGGGCCAAGTATGAGCTACGATCGCTGGAAGATACCTCGGCCAGATCTCATCACATGCCGTTGAGATTTACATCGGGTACTGAGCACCAGCTGACACCTGAAACACTGGTTCGCAATCGTGAGCATGGAGGCTGCGCTTTGGATTCGGCGGCTCGGCCCGCGTGTAAGGGTAGACTCCACGTTCAAGAACAAGTCGCAGCGTCGCTGTCTGTCATTTGTGAATTTAAATGAATTCGCCCGGGTACACCACCCCGCCTCGTCGATCCCGCCCCCCTCGTCCGGCGCCCCCTCGCCAGGGCGGAATTCAACTCGTTGACAGACTCGCCCTCGCAATCGCGAAACCGATGCCGACACAATTACGACAGTCTCGGCAACGAGAGCCGAAGGAGGGGGGCGCCCTGGCACCAGATCCCCCCCCCCCCCCCCCCCCCAAGGCTCTCGCAGGCGAACTGCAAGTTAGAGAAGAGTTGCTTTGCCCCGCCCCCCTGTAGACCCCTGTAGCGAGGCCCCGCGCGACCCTACTGTCAGCAACACGGGCAACCTAGACCTCAGGAGGGAACTTGAAAGCAGCGACGATGGCCCAGGGCAGGCCGACCACATCCGAGAGAGCACGAAAGCAAAGGCATGTTTGAAGGGCCTCTGGGAGAGCGTCCAAAGCCTGGCCCACGGGACATCCCAAGAAGCACATGCCTTCCGCATCCTCCGCAACTGCTGCAGCTGCCCAGCTGCGCCGTGCGTCCATTTGCGGCGCCGAGCCATCAGTAGAGAAATGGGCATGGCGCGGCAGCACACCTCGAGGCGGCGCAAACTGCAGCGCAGCGGCAGCGCTGTCATGCACGGCAGCCCCGTCAAGGTCCGTCGCGAATTCCAAAGCCCAGCCCAAGACACACAGGAAGCTCTTAGGGGCCCCGCAGGGGGGATGGAGCACGCCCAAGAGGACCCATTGGCAGCGACGGGCGCCCCTCCCTCCACCACATCGGCCTGCGGCAGCTCCACCGCGCTTAGGAGCTCGGCCAAATCGGCACAGGCGCGGGCATGATCGAGGGGGTGCCGCTGCCCTGCGCCGGCCGAGACAGCTCCTCGGCCTGCGCCGGCAGGCGGCGTCTCGCACGCGCACGACGACTCGGGCTGACCTGTCGGGATCCTGCGGGCCACTCCTCCGCGTCCCTCTGGGCGTCGATCCAACGCCCGCGCGCGCGCAGGTCTGGCCAGACTCTCGCCCGCTTCGCTGGAAGCGCTGGGTGAAGCGCTGGGCGGCCGACCTGACGCTGAAGACCAGCCCCCGCCGCCGCGCCCACCCCCGCCGCCCCGCCCTCCCTCTGCGGCAGGACCAGACACGTGCCCCCGCATAGCGCCCTCGCGCCAGGGTGGGCCAAAACTGCCCGGCGCCCTGCCGTCACCGATGGCGGGGGCAGGGGGGGCGCCCCTGCCTCCGCTGGGCCAGACAGCCGCACGCGTGAAAGACCGCGGTCTCCCACGCCCCCTCGCATATCTCCCTCGCCTCGCGCCTGCGGGTCGCAGGGCGATCGCCCCGGGGAAAAAGAAAGAACGGGGCATCTAGCGAGGGCGTCCTCGGCAAAATCGGCGCACCACGCTGTCCAACTGGCGAGAGTATCATCAACCCCGAGATGATATTCGATATGCTCCTACTGCATAGTGCGAATGAGGACCTCCCTTACCAGGCCCCTCC